TGTAGCGCCTTGGCGCTGAGTTATACGGAATCAACAATTTGGGCAGAACTGGTGGCGCTTTGGCGCCAGTTTGTAGCACCGCGGCGCTGAAATCCGGCAGAAATTGTGCACTGGGCAGAATGGGCAGCGCTTAGGCACCCATTACAGCGCCGCAGCGCCCAGGAGTTTGACACAACAGCGCCACAGCGCTGGAAACTCAGCGCCGCAGCACTACGACGCGAGAAATTACGCGTTTTGAAGGCCAATCGCGAGAAAACTTACCCGTTTTGACCCTAACGCTCCGAAACATATAAATAGATGATTCTAGGGCAATTAGAAGAGACTTTTAGACTGTGAAATGACGGCTGGCTTTTGAGAGAGTATTCAAGAGAAGAAAAGGAGAATTGGGACGAAGAAGAAGAACGACTCAAATCCGGAGACGGAGACGCTTCAATTCAACTCCAAACTAGTTCTTTTCTTTCCTTTCCAATGATTAAGACTTTGTTTAGGAATTTATTTTGTTTAGAGATGAACTAATTCCTTTTTCTAGGGCTACGAGCCGGATTATGAATGTTCAAATTCTCAATCTTCTTGTTAAGTAATTGATGTTTAATCCATATATGCTGAGTATTTCAATTTATTCTTAATGCTTGTGATTGTTTGGCGAACTATTACATGATTTTGTATTTGATTTGAGACTGAGAGATGATAATTGAATAAGCTCTTAATTGAAATACCATGAGTTGTTCATAAGATAGAGATATCTATGATGCTTGTGCAGTTCTTTTGAATTTCTTGCACTTAATGATTTTCAACAAGTTTAGAAGTCTGACAGAGATGTAGATTTTACTTGTTGGATTAATATTATTGTTGCTTGAGAAAGAATAATAATTGTTTTAGAGAAATTGCTGTCAGTATAGGATTGAATGTTAATTTTCTTGAATTATGGGAATTTGAACATGATTAATTTGGTGAAATCGGAAACCCTAGAATCTTAGGCCCCGTTCATTTCGCCGATTCGAGTTTAGAATTCGAGTTTTGCTACAGTAAAAAGCTCTCAGAAACAGTCACATCTAACTTTTTTGCTACAGTAAAAAACTCTCACACAAAATCAAATCTCAACTCGAATTACAAACTCGAATCAGCGAAGTGAACGAGCCCTTAATCTATTGAATTTTCATCCATTGCTTAGCATTGTTTAATTTATTTAATTGTTTTAGTTTTGCTTTACTTAATTTTATAAACTCTCTTTTCAAGTATTCAAATAAAATTGGGGTTAATACAATTTCGGTAATTAGTAAACAACAATTCTCGTGGGACGATATTCTTATTCACTACTATATTACTTGATTGTGATAGTGTATACTTGCGTTACGATTTTTCACAACAGAAAGAAATCTCCATGTGCTTTAAATTATATGGTCTATTATCTGTTAATTTCTCTGTCCCAATTTAAGCAAGTATTGCTTTTCTTTGTAGGCTATTGAAGGTTGAACAAAGAAGAGTTGTTGGTTTATCTATTTATTCATAGATTTAATATAAAGAACCAAAAAAAAAAAAAAAAAAGTTCAGCTTGGTTATTCTTACTAGCAACAGACTAAAGGAAGAAACTGGTAGAACAAGCGAATATCGAAAATACATTTCTCCATAAGACGCCTACTTTGCAATTTTTCTTTATACAAACAACTGCTGATAGTGACTGATATCATCAATATTCTTTTAATCTCTACATGTTCACAATGAAATCAAAATCAAAAGGTAACAAAAAAAAAAAAAAAAAAAAACGATACATACGTGTTCTTGGTTGGAATTTTCGCTAGTTTCGTGTCTTTAGTACACGACTGTACAAGACTGGTACGTGCGTACGTGCAGTATGATGTTTATTATGAGATGGATTATGGAGTTATCACTAGATGGGGTGTGATCATTTTGTCAAATTCTTGCTGAAATCCCAGAGTTTCTTTGCTAATTCCGGGTCCTTTCCCTTTGAGCTTGCCTCGGAGAGATTACTATCGACAAAGTACTCGCCGCTTAAGCCCTTCACTTGCGGATGCAATGCCACATAGCACGTTGTAGCAGCTCCCTATAATTGTATTATTTCAACAACATCATTGAGGAAAAACAAAAAAACAAAAAGGACTTCTATTACTCTCATTTTCCATATTCTACAAATAGCTTGACTAGCTAGCTCTATGTATGAGATTAGTGGATTACCTGCTGAACGTTTTTCAGAACAAGCCTGCCAATAGTATTCACAAGACCTGCATATTGCATGAAATAATTACTAAAAAGATGGCCTTATCTGCATAATTCACAGAACTTTTATAAAATGGAGATTTTCTGTATGACTTTCGTCGTCACCATATTACTTTGAGAACATTTAAAGCCAGCCCCAACTATTCTATACATGTTTTTTCTTTTAGTAGGTGATTTATTACCGTTGATAAAACCAAGATGACGAAAAAGATTGGTTTGAATTGCTCCTGGGTGAAGGGAATTTGCAGTTATAGTCGCCCCATCTTCCTGAGAAAGAAACAATGAATTAAAAACAGATTTTGATATAATATGACTGAGAGTAGTTATTAGTGTCTTCATTTTTATGCTGAAGAAAGTCATGTACCTTCAGACGTCTCGCAAGCTCGTTGGCGTGCAAAACATTAGCAAGCTTTGATTGCCCATAGGCAGCTCCACTGCTGTACCTGTACACAGGCAAGTGATCCAAACTTAATCAAGCATGTACTAAGTTGAACTGATTATGTGTAGTTGTAGTAAGAAAGTGCTACCCTGATTTATCATTAATTTTGTCAAAACGAATTCCTTCAGAGTATGGGAACCGGTGAGCAATGGAGGACACATTGACAATCCTTCCTTCCTTTTTACTTTGCCTTGCTGTTTTCTTCATTGTATCCAGCAAGAGATTTGTCAGAAGAAAATGGCCTGCGAAAACCGGGTCAATAAGATGAATTTCATGTCATTACATGCCATCAAATTTCAATATCGATTATGCATGCAACGAAGTTACCTAAGTGATTTGTGGCAAACTGTAGTTCTATGTTGTCTTTGGAAAGCATGAATGGAGTTGCCATAACTCCTGCATTGTTACTTAAACAAAACAAAAAAAAGGCACCTTTTTAAGTGGGTGGATTTATTGTCCAAGAAATAAGCACTGATTGACCAAAATGTAAAAGAGCCTCACAGTTAAAAAAGCTATTGAGAATTTACATTAGAATGTTGAGGGGATGACCAGATGATTTGAAATCCGACGCGAATTTCCTCACAGACGACAAGGAACTGAGGTCCAATTCCATGGTATCAACTTTAGCAGTGGGGACTTCTTTGACTAATGCCTCTCTGACACCCTTTCCAGCAGCCATATTCCTGACAGCCATGATTACACGAACTCCGCGTAACGCGAGAACTCTTGTAGTTTCGGTGCCTATACCACTCGATGCTCCTGAAATGACAGTGTCCAAAACCAATGAAAATGTACCAGTCAGTAAGACAGCATAAAAGTTCTTCACTTGATATAAATTGCCAAGGATGAAATGTCAAAAGATAATGACATGCTTATATAGTGTTCAACTGTTTTGATGCAAATGTTTGTACAAGATTTCAATATTAAATTAATTGCAAAAAGAGATAAAGTTTCTCGCAATTTGCAATCCAGATTCCTTTGGTTTTAAGAAAGCAGATGGAGGTGGGAAAACTCCAAGGTAATGTTTCTCACATGGATACTAATTAATTTGTTAATTAAGGTCAATATCCTTTTGTTAGAGTTATTGGAGTCATTTTGGGCAACAGACAATATATTTGTTTGATTTCAGTAAATTTAAGTACTTCTCATTGAAACTGAAGAGTGCCGAGTATTTTTTTTACGTCAGAAAAGCAAATACGTAGTTATTATAAGACAGAAACACTTGAGAAATATGAGGAATTTAACAACAGAACTCTCCAGTATACAAAAGTCTTGGAGACCATCTCTAACAAGTCATAACCAAGATTTTGGGCGTCTTAAGGAACTGGAATGAACTGATGTATTACTTTACACACAATCTCATATGTTATAGGATCCGTTTAGTTCGCTGATTCGAGTTTTTAATTTGAGTTTAGATGTGATTTTATATTAGAACTTTTTACTGTAGTAAAAAAGTTAAATGTAACTATTTTTAAAAAACTTTTACTGTAACAAAATTCGAATCGGTGAAATGAACGGGACCTTAGTTCACTATCTAGTAAGGAAGCATGAGAATGAACTTTACATACCTATATATATATATATATATATATATATGTGGTGTGGGGTCATCGCTCCACTTTATTAATAAGAAATAAAACTATCAGGATTAGAATTTGAATGGACACGCACACACGCACCCAACCGTTAGTTTTAATATGCATGACAATAAACTAAGTAACAAGAAAAAAAAAAAAGTTTGCAGGAGATAAGTTCCAAAGCTCTCTCGTTTAAGAAAACAAGAGAGGCATAGAACAACCAAAATACGGATGACCCTTAATTCCTATGTGTGAAAAAGGTCAAACACCATGGTAATAAATATATATATATATAAAGAAATATCTTAGTTTAAGCTATAATTTAGACGGAATAAAGGTGAATATAACCTGTAACAATGGCGGTGAGGCCATTTGCATCAATTCCTTGAGTAACCTCCTCAGCTGTGGAAGACGATGAAAACCCAGATGGGCCTTTTCTGCTAAAAGGCCACATTCTTGCTTCCCTCACTCTCTCTTGTCTCTACAAACTCTATTAAGAGAGTTTTTTTTTTTTTTTTTTTTTTTTTTTTTTTTTTTTTTTTTTCCTTCTCTCTTTTTCTTTTTTCAGTTACAGGTTACAAAGATATTGGAAATGGCAGTTCGTACGGACAAGCATAAACAGTTGGAAAGACGACATTACCATGTTCCCGTATGAGTGGAGCCTAGTTTGCCAGCTCTTCACTCAATAGGGACCATGCAATTTGCCTTCTCTGTGGACTTAGCACGCCAAGGGGAAAAAAAAAATGTCGTTCCATTTTAATTTTCTTTTAATATGACGATTTAAGGGGGAAAAAAAAAAGAATTGAGCTTAATGTGAGGCCCACAAAATTCTGATCTTGATTTCTGAAGTAAAAACTTGATTACTAGAGAGTGAGATTCATTCCCAATAATCTCATTTTCACATTATTTCTTCTATTTTAATTAAGAACAAATTACACAGTTACTCTTCAAATTATAAGTCTTGTTACAAAATACCTCTGAATTTTTACTTTAACTTTTTTCTCTTTGAACTTTAGTAATTATTTTAAACTTTCTCACTCTGTTTAATTTTTTTATGGAAATGTCATTTAAATATAAAATTAACAAAAAAAAACTCCTAATGTTAAGACTTTTAACATAAATAACGTGTATTTACATAAATAATAAGTGTCGTATGAATAATTTAGTAAACAATTATTTTATTAACTCTCCTCATATAATCACATGAAAATATAATTATGCGGCCAGAGTTATTATTTTTTTACTAAACTTTCTCCTTCATTTACTTGACCCAAAGACCTTTGGGATTTATAAATAGCGGCCAACGGTAAAAATGGAAGTAAAAATTTAATAAAGGGGAAGTTTTGAATAGAATTACTGAAATTCTTAATAAAAAAAAGTTAAAATTAAAATTTAGAGACATTTTGTGACAATGAGAGAGCAAACTGTATAATTTGCCCTTTAATTAATCCTATCTAAATCTCCATTCCCTTTTATCCAAAAGGAAAGAGGTTACACCTGCCATCTATTGGTAGGTTATGATTTGTTACAACAGAATATTTTTGGTAGAAAAAGGTTGATTATCTTTTTTTTTTAAGGAAAAAAAAAAAGAAAAGTAAATGCCAATTGATTGAGACATTGTTATAAAACATATATGAGAGATGAATATACAAGATAGAAAAGACCCCCTTGATTAAAGTATGTCATTTAAAAAATACTAATATCACTATTTATGTTTCGCTCTTCTGCATTTATTATTTGACACATAATTTTTATTATCTCATTTTTTATTTAAGTAATAATATAACATATTAGTGGAGTCCATATGTTAAATAGTGAATGCGAATATCATTTAAACAGAAAATGAGATAATAAAATTGACGTGTTTAACAGTAAATGTAAAAAGTGACATAAATAGATATGCTAAAATTTCTAATGTCATTTTGGTGAAGCAACAATAGAAAGGCAAACAAGAGAGTAATTTACAAAAGAATATCCACATTAAAATGCACAATAACATATGATAAAAACACAAAATTTAACAATTTAACATCTCGTATTGAATCCTAAGAAAGCCAGGAATAAACGTTGATTTTAGGTGGAAAAGTTTGGAGTGCAACGGACTAGCAGATAATTTTTCCTTTTGTTTGTTCTTTGGAGTTGTAGTAAGATAAGAAAATTGGTACCACAACTCTGCTTAATAACAATTTATAAACTACAATAAGGTGGAAAAGATTATCTTGTTAATACTGAAACATTTTTGAGCCATTAGAACTTAATAAGATGCTATAAAATTTTTATACTGATTGATTTGTTTCTGAGACATTTATACTGATTAACTCTTGTGGTATAAATACACATTATCTCAAGTAAATAAATACACATTAAGACAAAACATTCTCTATCTCAAGTAATGTTATGGACATCAAATTATTTATTAAATTTGAATCTAACAACGTTACAATATACTTAAAAAATAAATAATACCAACTTAAACATCATATAACAATCATATTCCAAAAGGTCAATTATCATAATACTGACTAAAATCACCATATCAAATGACACGCGATAGGATTAGTGTGCGACTTAAATTTGAGAGAACACGTGCTCAATCTGCATCGTGTAAAAAAAAAATGTCATATTACTTACTATTACAAATTTTCATAAAATAAAAAGAAATTTGACAAACTATTTGATGTGAATGTCCATATCATTATTCTAACCCACTATTTAACTCCCAATATAATAAAGGAAAAATGAGATAAACACCTTTTTTTCTCTTACTCTTAATTCTCTTTTTTAATAAGTAACTATATTAGTTAAAAGAGTATTAATTAAAAGTAATGTGTACAAATCTAGACTCATGCACTTTAAAATTATAGAAAAAATTATTGAATTTATGAGTTTAAATTTTTACTCTTTACTCTTAATTAATATATTTTTATTCAAATAACTATATTAATTATTAATAAAAGAGTATTACTCAAAAGTAAGAAGTAAAAGTCCACACTCAAGAACTCTAAGGGGCATTTCTCTCCTTTCTCTATCTAAAATAGAAGGAGAAATGAGACAAATGCCCCTTAAAATATATGGATGTGAATTTATACCTCTTACTGGCGTCGACCATAGTCTATCCGTCTATGATCCATAGTTTGTCAAACTATGACCCATAATCTGACATGTACCGTCGTCTGCTGGCTATAATTTGTCATACTATGACCTATAGTCTATTAAACTATAATCCATAGTCTTACAAGTTGTGACGACCCTCCTATGAGGCCGCCACTGTAACTTAAACTTTAACTTGTACTTACTGGGGTTTCTTAAAATTTGCGGAACATTTTTTTTTTTTTTTAATATAAGAAAGAATACTTTCATAATTTGTAACAATAATTTCAAATAAGTGAATCACTAAATTTCTTAAAGCTTTTCTTAATTTCAGTTAAGATAAAACGTTCTAAAAATATCTTTCAAACAGAGCAGCATTTGAACTCCTATTTCAAATACTCTTTAAAAGCCTTTCTAAAACTAGCCAATTCAATCGGGCCATTTAATTTTGACTTTGAAACGGATTTCGTGAGAAATCTTAAATTCAAGTACATCTTAAAGCCCTTTTAAAATCAATCGTTTAAATCGTCATGTTTAAAATTTGTTTATTTGTTGCATGCTCTATTGCAACGTTCTAAAACTTAAATACTCAAAACGAGGGTTGTTAGCTACAACCTCGGTTTCCTTAACATACATATGTACCTATACTTTTTAAACATACATGCTTGAAACCTTTAAATCATATATACATATACATGATTTTTCTTAAACTTACTGCGAAAGATAACTGCGTGAGCGGTATCCATTCC